TTTTTTATACCGGTGGGTTCTGTAGCCAGGAGACCAGGAAGAAGGACAGACAAAGCTAAAGCAAGAATATCTGGAGGAGGCTACCTTGGGAACAAAAGCAATGCAAGGGGACAAAGGGACGGGTTGCCACGTGCTGGCCTATTGGATCCTGATTCTCCAGGGAAACACTCTCTGAAACCACCTTTTCCACATACAAGACAAGATTCCACGGACTGCAATCCTGAAGGGCATGAGTGAAATACAAGTTTCACAACAGGAGAGAGGGATTTGCCTCTCTGAAGTGATTCTTGCTACTCTCTGCTTCACTCTTGTGACAGTCAAGATTGCATATGAGACATCTGGGCCCAACTTGTGGGTGGAAGGATGGGAGAAGGAGGCTCTTCCCATGAGCTGCAGACTCCCAGGTATGAGTCTGTGCTGAGTGGTGAGGGGTCAAGACCATTCTTTTCAGAGTCAGTCAGAAAGGAGTCTGAATTCTACCATGAATGGGGGAATGACTGTGGGTAAATTGTCCAATTTATCCAACGCCCCGTTTCCACATCTGTCCCTGTGGTTAGACGTAACTCTTACTCTAGAGTGATCTGTGAGATATGACATTATGAGTTTGAAGCATCTGTTGCAGTCCTAGCACTAGGAAACCTACAAGAATTAGTGCAATAGGAAAACAGCTTGAATAATGATGGTTGTAGAAAAGTTTGTAGAAGAGGTTATCTAATCAGATATGGGGCTGGCTATGGGAGGTAGGTTCTAGGCTAACAGCCTAGTGAACTTCCATTTACTCAACAGGACACAAAACTCTCTGAAGGTTTATGATTTAAAAACAGAATGAAATGAAAATATAAAGTCAAGAGATAGGATTAAAGAGAATAAGAACAGCTAAGGTGAAAAGGAGAAAGATGACGTTCCATTTAAACCACTTCAGAGCCCTGCAGATGGTGCACTACCATAATGATGTGGCTCTCCTCCAGGGACAATCAAGTTTCACATTGAAAAAGCACTAGCCACTCTAAGTGCTTTAGGCTAACTCCCTTCTGTATTTCCCAAATAAGCAGGTTCAAATTCAAATAGCACACCAGAGCAGAAACCTATGTGGAGACAAAAGTATTGTAAAAGTACTTCAATGAATTTCTACAGTTAATATACATACCTCCACATATCTCTTCTGTTTCATCATCTATGCATTCTCTGTCATCACACTCACAGAATTTACCATAAACAAGGCCATTTCCATCCGAATCGTCACATTTACACCTGCCACAGTGACATGTACCTAAACCATTAAAACAAAGAAAGATTGTTTATTATGTGCACATAAGTTACAGCTAATAAAGTTCTTGTCTTGTTTCTTTCAGGTGAATACACAATTCAGATCAATTCAGTATTCCAGTTATGCATTTCTGTGGGTACGATGAGGTTGAAAATAAGCTATTCCTTTTTGAGATTGCCATGGCACAGCATTATATTTTATATTATGCAGCTCTTATTATTGACCTCTAATAGTTTAATGAATATAATTTGACCTCTTCAGTGCAGAGCTTGTCCCTTCAACTGATGCATAAATGAATATCTGCTGATTACACCTGAGTCTGAAGTGAAATAAAGCAGAAAATTTGAAGCATTGTGAGGAAAGTAACTTTGCTTATCTTTCTCACCAGGATTTATTCAATGCTTTGCATAATGTTTGAGCACACTATTTACATAATAATATTTTTGGAATTAATTTCTTATCCAATGCATGAATGGAAAGCATATACACCTCTGATAATTTCACATCCTCAGCATGAACTTACACCTTTGCTCTTAATGACAATAAGACCTAGTGGGTTTTCTTAGGCATAGATTCCTGGAGTGTCACAGAATCTCAAAGCAGCTCAGAGTGATAGAGACACTGGAGTCATCTGGTCTACCATAGCCATGTGCTTATGCAATTCTGAAGATCTGATTACATTCCCCAAGAATGATTTCATTGACAGTAATATCACATTCAGATGGTACCAGAGATAAGATGTCTTCTTAAGAAAAGTGTACTTTTATATATATTCCATGTTTAATTGGTTATCATAGCTATAACTATATAAAATTAAGACTTTATCATCCATCAGATTCTACTCTAATCTCTGGAAATCCAACAGTTCAAGTCAGCCATAATCCTCTTCTCAGAGCTAGAAATCAATGTGATAAAATAGAGAAGTGCAAAGTGCTGCAAAAACACATAGCAAGGGGATTTAGCTGAGACCTGGAGGCCAAAGGTAGAGTTCCGCAGGAAGCAGCTGAAAACTGAGAGCTGTTTTTAAAAAATCGCTAAGCGAAGTGAGTGGCGAAGAGGTTCAGTTACAGCAAGAGACAACAGCAAAGGTTCAGGGGCAAAAGAGGATAAAAGGAACAAACTCACAGAACTTTGAGTTTACAAAATGACGTGAAAAGTGTAACAAAAGGGGCAGTGGGTGCAAGTTTTATAGGTCATGCCAAAGAATTCCGACTTTAATCCAATAACAAGAAGTCACAGAAGTGGTCTCAGGAAGGGTTAATGAGACCAGATATGAATTTATACCAGGTGCTCTGGTTGTCACATGGAGAATAAATTGAAATGAGGCAAAAGTGGACATGAAAAGAAGTTAAGAGGCAGTTATATGTGTCTGCAGGAAAGAAGGTAGACACCAGGTGGAAAATGGCAGTGAGTTTAGAAAGAAATAAACATATTTGGGGAAATTTCAGGAGAAAGAACACACAGCATGTGGTGGCTGATTGGGTATGAGAGATGAATGAGGGGGAGGAAACAAAGATGCTATTTGGCTTGAGCGACAGGATATTAGCAATTCTGGATGTGGTGCACTGGAAAAGTATGGACTCCAGATTAAGGTAGACATATAATTGAATCCAGGTGTTAATCCTCTCTGGCTATGCATTTTCAAGATCACTTTCATTTCTCTCTTTCAGATTATAGATGTGCAAATAGATGTGCTCTAGCTCCTCAAATATATTGTCTGATTATTTTTCTAAAATCACTGCTGTGTATAGTCCATAAGAGGCTTTCAGAAAAATTTGAGTCCTCCCTCCCCTCTTATACCACTAAGATATTGAGATATCATTCCTATTCCAAATACTTTCTCCAGATTCACCTTATATTTGTGGGTCCTGAAATGCCCTTGTTTTTATGTCTTCTGTGTGATTCTAGGACCCAGATCATTTGCAATTTACTATTATCTATAGGTGTTTTTCTCTCATAAGTACCTATAAATGATGATTATGCAGAATTTGAGTTTGTTATTTTCTAGCTTGAGAATGTGCATGTGAATTTGACTTTTATTAAACTTCATTTTTTGTGTTTATTTCCTGAAAACTATTTTACTTTTATAAAAGTTATTTGAAAAGAGGTAGACTTTAAATTTTGGGGTGCATTATAATTATACATAACAGTGAGATTCATTATGCCATATTTATATGTACATGTAACATAATTTATCTATCTCATTCCCCAGGACCTTCCCTTTCCATCCCCTCCCCTTGATTTGCTTGCTCTGCTCTACTTATTTCCCTCTTATAATTGTTATTGCTATTTTAAATAGTTTATACACACCTATATGGGATTCCTTTCAGTATATTTGTACATAGACATGGCATAATTTTGTTATTTTATTCCCAGTATTTTAACATACCCTTCCCTTCTCCCCCTGCCTTTTTTATCATCTTTTTCTACTCTATTAATTCCCTTCTATTTTAGTAAGATTCCCTTTGTTTTTATTTCTTTCTGTCCTTTATGTCTAACTTCCATGCATGAGAGAAAAACATTGGACCCTTGGCTTTCTGGGTCTGCATTATTTCACTTAGCATGATGTTCACCATCTAATGTTACAGTTCATGATGTTGCTTCATCTATTTTTTTCTACCATCCTTTTTTTATTTCATATTTATTCATTCATCTTCTCAGCCTCTCTCATATTTAGTCATTAAACTGTCTGGTGACCTATGTTGTTATCAGCAAAAATGCTGTAGGAGATAATAAGATTAATAGCATTAAATAAACCACAGACCAGGAAGAAAGTTATCATTGATAAGATATACACATATATATCTTGCGTAATCATACACTATAAAGCCATTAGGGTGTGTGTGTGTGTGTATGTGTGTGTGAGTATAGACAGAAGATGCATGACACAAAAGCATCTGTAACAGATTTGAGGCAAATGCTATGCAGAAATGATAAACCTCAGGCTGGCTGTGAAGAAGGGAGGCAGAGAGAAGGAGTCAGTTCTTGAGTTGGCACCTGTATATGGGTAGAATTCCAACAAGTGAGGATGAAGAACAGATTTTTGATGTTGAGGGAAATGCCTAGCATAGGGAATAAGAATGGAAATAAAGAATCTGACTTGAGTCTGGGGAAAAGGTAGGCTAAAGGCAAACAGTGGAGACCAAGACCACAGGTCAGGGATTTAATATTGCCTGCTGGAATAAAAGGAGTCTGCTGTGCTTGGGAGCAGAGAATAACTTGGTCAGGGCTCTGTACGCGGAAGGTGTCCTGTTGTCTATTTTTTGTTTTTTATTGACATCCATCCTCCCACCCCCGAAAGGTGGAAAGAAACAGCCTGTGCTTCTGAATTCTGCAACTCCTCCCCGATGTCCCCCACCAGCAGACTCACTCTCATCCACACGTGCGAACTGTTCCTGGCTGGTGTGGGAAGTTTACAATAGCTCAGAGACTTCCTGTTTCACCCATCCAGCAGAATTCACAACTGAGCCTCCAAGACATGGCATATGGACGCCCAGGCAAAAGTGCCAGACTCCTGTGTTCGGGCTGTGTCATGCTGCTTCTCTTTCTTGGTTGCCAGTTAACTCACTCTAGGATTGGTCTCCTGCTTTATACCAGATTATTTTAGCTCTGGTTTTTCATGCAGCCTAATATAGCCGACTAGGATGACTTACCAGACTTGAACACCAGTCCACATCCCTGTGCCAAGGTGCTGGAGCCTCCCCTCGCTCTACACATTACCACTTTTATGGGTTTCTCACAGAGATAGTTGGTCCCCAACTCTATCTCATCCTGCTCTTCAGTCTTATGCCCAACCCATTTATTTCCTCTTTCCCTGCTGCTCCAAGCTACTTGTAGAGGACCACATTGAAATATGAAACAGAAAGATTACAAGAGAGAGGCTTTAGGCTAATGAAATTTGTAGGAAGTGGCCTGAAATGGGCTGGTGGAAGTGGGTATTAGAAGACAGACAGGTGAGAATGAGATTGCTAAATAGGAAAGACTTACATATTGAGATGGAAGTGTGAAGGAAAAGGTTCAAAGTAACATTGAGCATAAATTTACCCCTTGGCCCCATAATCTCACTCCTGATCAATTACACTGAAAGATGCACCTCCAAAAATACGAAAATACACATGGACCAGACAATTCCATGCATTATTATTTGCAATTTGAAAATATCAAAAACTCCAGATGCCAAAGCATAGGAGATTGAATAAGTCATGCCACATTCAGACAATTCAGTACTATGGTTTTGAAAAAAGAATGAGAAAATTTTCTATGAACTGATACAGAGTGAATTCCAGGATATAATGTTGAATGGCAAAAGCAGATTTGCAGAAGAACATAGTGTGCTATCTTTTGTATAGGGAAAAAAAAGAAAAACGTAATAATATATCCATATATCTATTTATCACTACAAAAAGAAACACTGTGCAGGCAAAGCAGAAAGCAATGAAGCTGATTCCCCAGGATGCTGAGAGTAAGGTAGAAAGCTTTGGAGGAGAGTGATGATTCTCTGAGGACTCTTCTGCATACATGTGACTTCTGGAAATGTGCTCTGTGTACTGTGCATTACAAAATATAACTATATTAATGAACAAAGGAAAGGAAGGGGAAAAAACTAAAACTGAAAATAATACAAACTAAAGATGCTCAATTGTACTTCAACTTACTATCATAACCACACTAATGGGGAGAAAATAAAAGGAATCCAAGTAACTTATGAATGCAGCATTTGATGACATACTCTAATCTTAGGCACGATTAGGGCTAAATGAGGGTGGGGAGGGGGTATATGGGGAACAAATCTTGGTCTTTTTTGGTAGATTTGTTTTGTATTATTGTGCATATGAAGCAATTCTGCAAACAATTGCAGATGAAGCATAGGATTGAAAAAATGAGATATGAATTTTGGTATATGAAAATATGGAATGGGGAAAGCAAGAAATTACCCATGTGGGTGGACTGGAATTGAATATATTGGTGTAAAATCATTATTTCTTACACACATACACACGTGT